AATGCCTCCACCGTGCGCCGGAACTCGTCGGCGTCGTCCGCGCCCCAGCAGCACGCCCGCGCCGACACGGACGACCGCCGCCGCCCGTTCTCCGACTCGGACCCTAACCTACCTCAAACTAATCTACAACTAAAACTAACCCTAAAATTATGGCTACAGGTTAATCCTAAAATCTAATCTAACTAAACTAAACTAACTAAATATACTAAGTAATCAAACTAAACTAACTAAAAAACTAAATCAAAGTAAACTAACACTAAAATTAACCCTAATCTAAAACTACAAACTAAATATACAATTAAATCTAACTCTATATAAATCTAACTCCCCCTCTCTATACAACAAAATTGGATTTTTTATTTTATGATTTTTCTGTGATTTACTATGATTTTCAAAGATTTAGCCAAAATAAATAAAAAGAAAAAGACAAAATCGCTCTCAAAACCGCTTATAACCGGGTTAGGGAGGTAAGATGAATGATTTTAAAAATTTGAGGGAGGTGTTTTATCCGGTTTTAAAGTTTAGGGAGGAAAAACGGATTTTCGTGAAAATGGAGGGATGTAACGAAATGGGCCTTATGGATCAGTGCACTAGGCCTGGCCCAAATTCTGCTCCTTTCGTGTATTTCCTCTATTTCTTAACGACGATGGTTGGAATATTGCTTGGAGTCCAGGTCTTCGTTCAGGAAGGCCGTCCTCGTGAAGAAAAAAAAACGATGTTGAATATCCTCCCTTTCTCCCACTCTCTTAGAAAAAAATACAGTCTGAAATCTCTGCATCTGTTCGTACGAAGCGTACACCGTCCGAAATGTCTGCATTTGTTTGCACGAAGCCACAAGTGAACAAAGAATGTAATGGATCGAAACAAGATGTTGCAGGGTCTCAGGTCCGTGTTTCGGATGTCATGTCATGGACGGGGAACCTGACCTGACCAACTGACCTGTAACCGAAATGGCTTTGGGTTCAGGCCTCGTTTAGTTCGTCACCTAAAACATCGAATGTTCAGACATATATATAAATATTAAATAATAAATATAGATTAAAAAATGATTAATTATATAATTTGCGACTAATTTACGAGACGAATCTTTTTAAGTCTAATTAGTCCATGATTTGACAATGTGGTGCTACAGTAACACATATGCTAATGACAGATTAATTAGGCTTAATAAATTCATCTCGCGGCTGACGAATTTTGTAATTTGTTTTTTTATTAGTATCCAAACATCCCATGCGACACCCTCATGTAACACCCAGTATGACACCTCACAACTTTAAACACGGCCTTCAATAATTCCATGGCATGGTGCCCTCATCGAACAAAACACCAACCATGCATCTTTCGTGGTACAAACAACAGCCAACCTGCTGCCTCGTCCGGCGCAAACCAGAACCAACACATCGCACATCAACTGCCTGCATTCCTAACTTCCCAGCATTCATATACTAATAGTATGAATGAATGAAGGATAAATGAAACAATGGACAGGGTCAGGTTAGATGATATCGGGTACCACGATAGGGGGTAATACACTAGGCCTTGTTGCATATCTAGCATCAGCTAGGAAATATTTTCTTACATCATTGTTTTCCTACAAATTAATTAGCTAAGAATATAGGTGAAGTTTTAGAATCAAATTGTTAGAACACAATGGGGTATTCCTACCTTCTAGTATTTTAAGCCCATTAGGATGTGATAGAGCATCTTGAAGAACATAAGAATCATGGGCTGAGCCCTCCCATCCAGCAAAAACATATATGAATCTTAAGTCAAAATCAACCGCTGCTAGTACATTTTGGGTGGTAATTGATTTTCTACCCCTAAACCGATCCTGCATATGGAAAGGTACACATGCTGGTATATATGTACCATCAAGGCTTCTATGCATCCCTACGAAAATAATTTTTTTAAAAAATTAGATGAGTATGACACCTAAAGTAAATTCAAAACATTGATTAGCAATTTTTATGTACCTCAAAGTAAGGGTGAAATCTGCCCGGAGCACTTGTTATCTTTGAATGTGTGTCAACAGATTTTATGCATATGAGGTCACAAGCAAGGATACAAAGGGCATCTAAGATATGATGGAAATACCTACTAATAGTTTCACTTGACCTAATGAACTCAAAACCAATTGATCTGTTTGACCTACGTTGTCCAACACAATGGATAAATATGGCAACTTGTTCCTCTATTGTGACATGAAAAGTCTCCTCTAGCAAGGCACGTGATCTAAGTTCATCACATAGTCTATGGAAGATAGCTTTCCTCGTACGCAGCTCATTTATGTAATGGGCCTCGGTACCATGATACAAACGATTTAGACGTGACAATCTTTCAACATCTCTATCTGTCATCGGAGCATAAGTTATGGTCCTTCTTTTTCTTGATTTAATCCTATACTGATGCATGGTCAGACATACAAGAATACCAGTAATTAATCTTCTCCTCCACATATAATGGCAGTAGTCCAAGTAATACTGCAAGTATAATTTTCTTTGACCCATCTAAAACATATGTTTAGAAAAAGATGAAATTAGTAATAAACTAGAAATAGTGAAGCATACAGTTGGAATAGCTTTGGAAGATCAAAGTCACGAACTTATTTTGTCAAGAAAAAAGAATCATCTAGCACCACATGCCAAGTCTCAAGGTGCTGCATATATTATCTAACACAATAACTCATCTTGCCTAGACTAAAGAAAAAAAGAGCCGTGACTTCTCCATATATATTAAACAAAGGAAACCTAACTAGCAAGACAGTAGATGGATTCACCGGATCTTAGCAAGAATTTATTTCTCCATTAGAAAATCAATGGCAAAGGGGGGAAATGGATTTATACCTTGTTTGGCTGCAGGAGGTTGCCGTGCTTGAATCTTCTTTAGCTGCAGAGACTGATTGCCGCGCGTGACCCAACACCACGGGATGGATGGACCTTCATGAGATGGATGGACCTTCACCTGGTTCACTGTTTTGTTCCAGATCTGCACACATGGAGGAAAACCAGAGGTCAACAGACATGGCGACGGGAAGGGGAAAAGCAATACGACTGAGGTGGGAGAAGATGAGAAGGTGGACATCACCTGCGTGGAAGGAGAGGCAGCCTGTGCTCATTGAGAATGACGACGCGAGGGGAAAGAAGGCAGCATAGAGGCGAGATGGGCGCGCGGTGGCCTGGCCTGGGCGTGCGGCGGAGCGGCCCCTGGGAGCGTGGCGGCACGGCCCCCTAGGCGCAGGTTTGGCGGGAGCGGCCGCTCGGCCTGTTTCATGGAGGATGGCGAGGGAGTGGACAGAAGAGAGCGGTGGGGTGTTTTTTTATTCGATGGGAATTGGCTTTGGCGCGCCACGGGGTTCGCGTCGGCAAAAACGCCGGCCACACTTTTGCGGCGAAAATCTGCGGCGGCATGGTTCCGTGGCGACAGCATGCCATAGCAATATCACGAACCAAACGGCTACCAAAGTTAGCGTGGCAGACTTAATGTTAGACGTGACGGCTGGTGGCTCCAAACTTCCCTTGGTTATCCCAATCCCAACAGCAACAGGGGGCAGCTTCATTGGGGGCAAGCAAGCAGGCAGGATAATTTTGCCGCGCATCTCGTATACGATATACGAGAACAAAAACAGGGCGAGGCGAAAACGACCCCAACGTGCAACGTCCCACACCAGCAAAGACCAACGGAACGGGGACATCACACGCCCGCCGCGCCGCCGCCCCTCGCTCCTGGAACCCAACAGCCTGTTCGTTTGAACTTGAACTTATCAGCTAGAATATTTTTCTCTCACAACAAAACAGCTTTTAGCGACTTATCAGCCGACTTTAATACCAACCGAACATGCCAAGATCGATCGGATCGGATCGAACCCAGGAAGATTTGGGGTTTCGCCGAGACATTCCGGAGCCTCCTGCCCTGCACTGCCGCCGCCAGCGCCAACCAGCCAGCAAAGTGGTGGAGTGGAGGAGCGCCACTACCCCAGGCGAACGTGAGTTTTGCACTAGAATTTTTAAGATTCAATAAATTTTGAAAATTCAACACTGTAGACCTCCTAACATTAAAAAAAAGAAATAATCAACTTCTTGGCTTTGTCCCTGCCCGCGACTACGGTGCCTGCGATCTTCACTGCTGTTAGTTATTACTGTCGATGCTGTACTGTACTAGTAGTACCTTGCATTGCATGTTAATGCTCACTTGCATGCAGGAACAATAACGTCTATGGGTTTTAAGTGTGTCGATCGATTCTGCACGAGTACGCTTTTTTCCTATGAAATCCTGCACTATTTACTACAGTGCTCCTATGTCTGCACAGTGATGCTAATAATTGATAAAAGGCCGATGCCTTTGGGTTACCCCTGCTCGCATCTGATTCTGGATTTGTCTGACGCGTCGCGTCATTTGTCACACGGATCGCTCTCCATTCATCCACCCAGCCAGCCAGCCTCAAGAAATTCGGCGGCGTCAGTACTCAGAGTCAGAGACGAAGGAAGGAAACATCCAGCAATTTTCGTCCATTTCCTTCGTTGCCAGATCAGAGCACAGGTTAAAGATCGCTCTTGTTGGATACACGCCGCGATCAAACGGCAGACCTGAACGGCTCTCTAAACCCCCGTTCGTAGTCGCAGGTGGGGTTCCTATGGCGAGACGAAGAAACGCACGGAGAGAGAGAGAGAGAGAAAACACAAAAAAGGTGGCCCTTCTGAAGAAGTGACTCTGAAGAAGTGACGCCCCCGTTTATATAGCCTCTTCGCTGATTGATTTGAGAACTTATCAGTCAGCTAACAGTGTTTTCTTTTAACAACCAACCAGCACCTGCTGAGCTTATCAGCCCAGAAACCGGCCGGGAACAGGCTATATGAACGGGGGCGTCACTTCGCTAGGGAATGAACACGAGACGAAAGTTCAGCCAGGGAAGCTTCGCCGACTCCGCTATGTACACTGCAGTCTGCACAGCGCGTGGGGGCACGCCGCACGCGCGCGCTTCCAACCGCGCCGCGCCCACCGGCTTATTCGACGACGGCGAGGGCGCCGGTGAAGGCCGGGGCGGCCTCGCAGTGTCCGCCGCCCCCGGAGCCGGAGCCGGCGACGACGGCCATCGTCATGGACTCCTGGCGGTGGAACCGCTTGTGCTTGTCGATGAACGCCTCCACCGTGCGACGGAACTCGTCCGCGTCGTCCGCGCCCCAGCAGTAGCCCCGCGCGTCGCGCGCCGACACGGACGACCGCCGCCGCCCGTTCTCCGACTCGGACCGCCGCAGCTCCAGCGGCGCCGCCGGCGGGGACGCCGCGCGCCTCACCTGCAGCACCCGCGGGCCCATCTTCTCCGATCTGCTCCGCCTCGGGGCGCGCGCCAGCTTGCTCACCCGCGCCGCCGGTGGCCTGTCGTCGAACTCGAACGCCGTGGCCGCGTCCGCCGGCGCTGCCGCTGCCGCTGCTACCTCCCTCGCTGGAGCCGCCGGCAGCGCGCTGAAGGCCTCCAGCGAGGTTGCGGGAGGCGGTGGAGGTATAGGAGTACCGTCGAACGAGGAAGGAAAGCCGGCGGTGGTGGCAGCCGGCGCGGCATCCTGCGGTGGCGCGGCGGCGGCGGTCGTGCTCGTCGCCGCCGTGCTCGTCTGCTGGCCGCTGGAAGAGGAGGCTGCGGAGAGGTCGTGCCGCGACAGCGCGAGGAGGAGGAGCACGATGGCGTTCCCGAGGACGAAGACGAAGCGGGCGTTGAGGAGGAGCGACCCCGCGAACCGGAGCACGGCGGCGGCGGCGGACGGCACGCGGGACGACGACCAGGAGAGGAACGCCACCAGCGCGAGGAGCTCCCCCACGCGCAGCATCCGGTACAGGAGGCGCAGCCGCAGCGCTGCTCCGGCGGCCGCCATGGTTGTCTTCTGGCACTGTGATGTGTGATGTAGGCACCGGCCGCCTGGTACCGCGTGTCCGGGGCTTTGGCTTCGCTTGGGTTTTGGAAGGCAAGCTGAAGAGAGTTGCGCTGCGAGAGTGAAGGGAGAAGGTGAGGGAGTGAGAGAGCTGCTGCTGCCTGCTGCTGGAAATTCTTTGGATGGGGTGAGGTGGAGGAGGGTGTTTATATAGGCCAATTTTGGAGCCTTTTCTCGTGGACTTTTCTGTCCAATACATTTATCTGTCTCTTTATTTTGTTCTAGATTTTTCTTCTTCTGGTGTGTGTGCTTTTGTGTTTTGTGTGGTCGTACAGTATTTTAAACTGTTGACACAACTAAAATCTGGCGACGTGTGATGACTATGAGACAACAGTTCGCTGATAGGTTTCTGGGCTGATAAGGCCGGTTGGTGCTGATTTGTTGTAAGAGAAAAATATTGTTGGCGGGCTGATAAGTCCTGGCTGAAACCAACCAGCGAACAGGCTGAATAATGATCGGTGGTCTGTGTACAATATACAAATACAGTACTAAGTGGGCTTGTATTTTTCTAAATTTATTTTATAGGAATTTAAATCGTTGTCCTTAAAGTGATGAGCGATGTGTTCCTGACATCTAAACGGCTATGATGACTCCGTTGGTCTCATAATCTCCCACTTTAGTCAGTCAGACGAATATACGTAGAAATGAATATATGTGTTATAATATAAAGATTTGTTTTTATTTTGTGATTCGTAAATAAAAAGCGTGTTCTTCTTCCTTTTCGTGGCTATGACGATTGAGGTAAGTGACTATTTAGTTGGGGGGTAGGGATCGAGATTGGACTTGTAAATAGATCTAAAATGAGTTCTCAACCTTTTTACCATGCCTTTTAAAAATCCTTGGCAAGTAACATGGATCTGCTTGATTTCTTTGCTAGGCACTGTACCGCCTTATCTAGCCAGGATATTGAGAGATCCGCACGTTTGGATGTGAAGTCTTTCCTAGGGCTTTTTGTGTGGGTGATGGTGAAGTTCGGATGCCATTGCACTTGCTAGCTCAAACAAGTCCAATTGGCTCCGTCCGTGTGGTCGCCATTGGTCTTGCCCGGCTGGCCGGCCCGGAGATTCGTGCGCGGGGCGGGGCCATCGGTGCACGCCGGCCTCGGCCACCCCAGACCCACGCGCGGCGAGGCAGACTCGGACCGGACGTCGTCGTCTTCTCTGCCTCCGTGCCTCGCTCTCTGTAGCTCACCGTCGCAGGGTGCGTGGTCTTGGCCCCGTCGAGCTCGCCATGCCTCCCCCTCTTTTTTGGGGTTGCCTCTGCTAGGAAGGGAACGAACCGACCCCAATCCCATCCCCGTCGCTCCTCCGCCTCCCTTTTCCCCTTTTCTTTCTCTCCCCGGACGACCCGTCGTTTCGAGCGCGCGGACTCTGGAAGGATGCAGCTTGTCGCGAACCCGGCGAGCGGCGGTGCATGGAACTTTTTGGAGTTAATTTGGACGGACGAAATCTCCGGCGGTTTCGAGTTTGAAAAATGCTGTGTATCTCGGTGAATTGTGGCGAACCACACACACGAAGTCAAAAGAAAGATCAGCAGCGGACATCGTTCGGTTAGGTGATTTAGGTCTCTGGCCGTAGTTTTCTGACCAAATATGAAGGAATTGAAAGCAAACGGCCGGAGTACGTCGTGCTAGGCTGAGCTTGAATATTAGCTCAACACACGACACAGCGGTGAGTTCGCAACATCTTCGTGAAGACGGGAAAAGAAGTAAAGTCCACCCGTTTCAGAGCAGTGATAAATAAAAGAGAGAAAGTCACAGAGGGTTCATAAAAAGTTGCAGGACGGTGTTATCTAGCCTTTTAACTTTTAAAAGTTTTATATTTAAGTTTTTGAACTTGTAAGGTGATGTTGAGTTAATACCAAACATGCTCTGAAATCATTTGTGAGGTTCGCATCAAGAGAGAAAAGAGCTCAAGAGAGACGGAGGGTATGGGATAAAGAGATGGTCAAGTGAGAGGTTGATAGATAGGTTGATAGATAGCCTCATGAATTTTCGACAAAATAATGTAACAGGTATAATTATGTCGCACTTTTGTTCAGCCCCCCACCCTTACTAAATTTTTTTCCGGAGCAGCATCAAAAGACATATTAACACAACTAGCACAAAGTGTAGAATGAGTTAGAACTTGTCTAGACTAACACGTTATTATTAGATAAGTTTTCGTACCTAGATGAACCAAAGTACTAAGTTTAGGGATTAAAGTATTGATATGTAAGGATTAGAAACTCGAATGAACAAGTTATAAATTTTAATAAGGTCAACAAAAACCCTAAACCCTGGCAGTGGCATCGCGGCACGGACAAGGCCCGGCGTCAGCGTCAGCGTCAGTCAGCATGCAGCCTTGCAGTACTGTCCCTTTCCTCGTACGCACAGTCGTACGGAGTACTATACGTAGCGCACCGCCCGTGGACGTGCCTGTGTTTGTTTGTGTTTCAGAGCGTTTGGGTACGGTACGTATGCAGATCTCCAGAACAAGAAGGAGACGCAGCTGCAGGCCGCAGCGTCCCGGACTCGTTTGGAACTACTTCTTCTTCTTCTTCTTCTTCTTTTGGGAGTGGATTACTCCGAATTTATTCGACGGCAACTCGTAAAAGTAAAATTCCCGGGACCCCGGCGAGAGCGTTCGTTTCAAACTCCAACAGGTACATCCATCCAGCTGGCATTTGATTTGCGTGAGCATTGCGGGTAGCGATTGGAGTCGGAGGCCCAAAGTCTTGGCAGGTCGGACCCCGTTCATTTCGATCGTATCGGTATGCTTATCGGTCACAGAAGCATGTTTGGTTAAATTTGAAACGATCGATACGATCGTAGATTATTACTGGCTTTGTTTGGTTTAGTGTGAGAGAAAAAATCGCATTACATTTTGAAATTTACGATCGTTTACGACCAAACGAACAGTGATGATATAATATTTTTCTCCCACAACAAAACAGCATCAACTGATTTATAAGGCACGTAAACGATCTAAGCGAATAGGTTAACTACTCACTCACTCCAGTCCCTGGTCTGGTCTCCCAATCAACCCAACCGTGCACCTGACACGTGCGTGTGGGCCGCGAGCGTGAGTCCTGAGCGGCTGAGCCGTCCCTTCCCTCCACGGCCACCCGATCTGCTTTGCGAATTGCAATGCAACGGCAACGCAGCAGCCATCAGTAGCACTGTGCGTGCAGGCTAGCAGCAGCTACTGCTGGGCCGCTTTTGGCCGTGCGAGGCGGACGTCCGGTCCGGCCGCGCGCCGAGGAGGGGACGGGGCGGACGACGGACACCGGGACACGACAGAGGCTGCCGCGGGAGACGCGCTGTGCAAACGTGCGGTGCCTTTTGTCGCGCGCTTTTGCCTTTTTCCTCCTCTCCCCCCGATGGTTTCCATCCATCGCGGCCAGGTCGCGGCACGGCAGCAGGCGACGAGACGCGTCGAAACAACCCCCCGCCGTTGCCCGTCGGCGCCCGCTACGTTACGTGCAATGCAGGCAAGCGAGCGAGCTTGCGAGCGGCTCGCCGTCAACCACAACCAGCCATTCTTCTTTCTCCAGTCGAAGCCAAAATCATCGTGCTGCTTTAGCCGGCTACAAACTACTCCTACAAAGGTAGGGTAGGCTACACCATAATGCGAATTAAACAAGCGTCGAAATTCGTCCAAAGTCCAACCAAGCACATGCGCATCATTAGCGTTTTTTTCTGCGAGAAACAAAAAAACAAGCGCGCATCATTGTCATCACTAGCATAAAAGACCTGCATGATTTCACAGAAAGAGGGTAAAAAGGGCCATCTTTTCCCCGTTTCATCACCGAACAATTTTTGATTTCGCATAAAGGAAGGAGGCAGCGCAGGCTAAATAAAAGCTGGTGGCGGAACTAGCCATAGCGGCTAAGTTAGTTCACATAGACAGGAGTAGTAGGAGGTTAGGTTAGGTTAGCCGCCTGCAGATTATTCTTGTGCAGAGCGGAGGTCGTGTTCATGCGCATGTGAGCTGCCGGGCGCCCGGGGTGCGAGCGATCGAGCGCGGATCGTCACTACTGAGATCACCGGGAAAGACACGCACAAAGGGCGTGTCTGGTACTTAAAGTTTAGTTTCTAAAATTTAGTTCTACACCATCTAAATAGGTGCGTTAAATTTCAGTGTACACTTCGACTAGCAATTTTCACTAGTTGGCAAATATGGGCTAGTAAGAGCCATTTTTCGCCTAAATGGCCGTTTAGCCCGTTTACACACCGTTTAAACGCTACACGGTGGTACACCGTTTCCGTTTAGTCGGTTGTTTTGACCGTTTAAATGGCCATTTTTTTCCGTTTAAACATCCGTTTTGCCCGAATAATGGGCTAAACGGTAGGTGACCGACTGTTTACCGTTTAATGTTTAGGATAACACTAAGAGCCAATTTGCACCTGTCAGCTCTTATTAGCTGATGTTTAGACCACCAATTTGACATTAAAAAACTAGGATAGGACTATTGTTAGCTACGAGGTGTACCTAAACACTAGACTAAATTTTAGTCAACTAACTTTTAGATTCTGTTTAGATCTTATGGTCTAAAATTTAGTTAACTAAAGTTAAAAGCTAAACTTTAGATCACTTTAGGTCGCTTTTGTGATATATAATGAACTAATTGACTTTTTTTTGTAAAGTTGGCTAAACTTTAGACAGCCCTTCGTTGTTTAGATTTTTAAGAGCTAAAATAGTCTCAAACAGAGCCTTAGTAACCTAACAATTGCCTTTATTAGCAACTAGTGGATAACTCGTGCCGATGATAATGAGTTCTCAACCTTTGTTGTGTTCAATTAAATCAGATAAATTTCACGACCGATCAAAAAAATGCTAGATGTAATAAATAATTGATCTAGTATGAGAAATTATCTGGAGATGGAAGTGAGGAAAGACGGACGGGAAAGAGAGTATAACAAACTAGTATAAAGGAAGGTAAAACAGGGACGGTCGAAATTTTTTTTACTGTTTTTAGTATTGCTATTACATCTTTACGAGGTGCATAGGTAATTAGATGGTATATTAATAACACAAAAAAAGGGTGGGCACGCGGTGGCCGGTGGGGGACACGGCGGCGTGATCCGCCGCTCTCGTGGCAGCAGCAGCCCAGAAGGTGGGGGCGTCGCCTTGTGATTGGGCTGGGTGGTGTTGCCTGTTGCCTTTGGATCGTGGCAGCCATGCGATCTCTCCTCCGTCAAAAGAGCAGGTTTGTGGCCTTGACCAATTTGGCTGCAGAAAAGCTCCTGGTGCTGGATAAATTACACTAGTTTTAGCTGCTGCTGGTGCCTGGTGGTACCACGTATAGGCTCTGTTTGAATAGTGCGAGGCAATGATTGACTATTGTTGATGGTGCCGGATTACTGTAATCATGTCGGGCAAGCAGGTGATATGTTTTCTGTTCGTTTGGTTGATAAGCCATGGCTGAAAATACTGTTAGCTGATTTATTGTGAGAGAAAAATACTATTCGTTGATCAAAAAAGTATAACTTATAAGTCAAGCGAACAGGACGATGACTACCCGCGCCATTGCACGCCCAGCATGATAGACTTTGGTTACCTAGCTCTAGGCTGCTAGTTTGGCGCTTGGGGCTTTGTTTATAGAAGGACGGCAAAGCTCTAGAGCTCTGCAGGAGGAGTGCTATGAGAAGTTCAGAGTGCAATGTGGTGTGGGAAATTAAAAATTTGACACGAGTGAAATCTTGATGTGTTAAGGAAAAGTGACACGAATAGGGTTTTAATGCGCAAAAAAGGAAAAAAGTAAATCTAAAAGTGAATAGGGTTTGAATGCGCAAAAGGAAAAAATAAATCTAAAGGTTTGAAGTGCAGCAAAAGAAATAAAATCAAATTAAAATGTTTGAATATGCAAAAGGAAAAAAAATATGAAATAAGACGCGCCAGATAGGGGTCGAACCTACGACCTTCTGCTTAGGAAACAGACGCTCTATCCACTGAGCTACAGGCGCTTTGTTGTGTATGTATATTTTAAAACTTCAGTACAAAACTCTAAACAAGTAGCACAGGAATACAGAATTCCATGCCTTCTTTAGTTGACAATCTGTCTATACCTATACGAAATTTCTCTCTCTCTTGTCCTCTCATGGTAAATTTCATCCTTTACCGCCTTTTACTCATCTTTAGTTCCTCATTCTTAACCTTCTCACTTTGAGTTTAGAGTTGTAAACCTTTTGTTGTTAGCGACGCACTACTCATATCAAGGCTTAGCCATCCGAGTCTGTTCATGTCACGGTGTGTCTCACCTTCCACCTTTTAACTCACGACATGTGCACCCAATAGGAACCTACTCAAGTTGAATCAATCTTCAATCAATTTCTAGATGAATCCTTTGTTGCCCTATTATGGGTCTTAGATTACTTATATTTAAGGTTGAACCAAGGCAATTAAAATTCAACAAAGATAGCTAGCTTATTATTATTGGTACGAGGATCACAAAATATATTATACGTCCGGTTACAGCACACGGACATATTTTACTAGCACATAAATTGAATCTATACCACGCCCCCATGCAAATCTAAACCTTAGCAGCTGTAGATCAAGCATTCCGAATTATTATTACTTTTTTATATATAAAAAGGAAGGATAATAATACAGAATTCCGATATATGTGATGTGATAAGCATGGATACGATTCCGTTTTCCGCTTTGAGAGCACCGGTTTATTTATTCCCTCCGAACACGGCAACACTCTCTCTCGCCATCACGCTGCAGTACGTGCTAACTAGTTGGGGGCTGTGTGCGGCACACCAAACCATCTCGATCTCGTCTTACAAAATCAACGACACACACCGTGTTAAGGAACGGATATATACTTTTGGGGCCCCTATTCTTTTCCGCGAAGGAACGAACAAAACAAGGCATCGAATCCGAATCGGATGCCCGGGACAAAGCACCGCCTTCCATTCCGTGCCGGCTCTGTATTTGCGCAGCCACTTGTGCTGCGACTTTGCGACCACTCCAAAGTGCCAAGTGCCCTAAATCAGGACACCTTTCCTCCTAACTAGTGGTCTTGATCGGTAATTTTTAAGTTTACACAGATTAGTTGATTTACACGTGATACGTCCCCCCCCCCTCGCTCGGCTTCGGTGGATTATTCGAGGTGTCCCGCCTTTTCGAGCAAGGTGGTGGCGCGGCTGTGATCCTGGGCTCAACACGTGGCTAAGATGGCTACTACTCCTGCTCCCCGCACACAGTGGAGCTAGCTACAAGAGGGACCAGAAGCTATTCCTAGCATTGATTCTAGTACTATCCAGCAATGCAACTGGAGCTCAGCTCAGATGCATGCTCTAACGCTCAAACTTCATGGAAGCGAAGAAATCAGAGCTTCCTTTTTCTGTTTTCTTTTCGGCCAGCTACCTTTCCATTTCTAGAAGGTTACGATGAGAGCTACTCCGTACTAACTCTATAGTGGTAATAGTATACTAAGTATTATATTACTGAGTAGACACTAACGCCGGTAGCTTTGCTTTGCCCTTGATCATTGATTAGTGATTTGTTTCCTTCTCTTTTCTTTTGTACCAGTAAGTGCAATTTGAAGGAGTTGATCGACCAGCCACCTCTGGCTCCATCATTGCAGATATTAGAGTAGTGACAGTGTGATACTACTGCTAACCTGTGGCGCTTTTGGGACATAGTCATGGCTCATGATTCCGGGTAGGGGCCCTGCCTGGGTTTGGTGCCTCGAAGTCACCACCGGATAGAGCTTTACAGACGGCTGTGGATGGAGAGATGAGTAGGACTGGGGTTAGTTAAAGCGTCTCCCCAAGCCTAAGCTCCTATTCTCCGTCGCCAAAGCGGCATCATTGCTACCACTCCGCTAGTAGTATCTATCACCGGTGATTTTTTTTGTTTCTTTCTAACTCAAGTGCTGCCCTAACCCCACCCCTGCTCAAATACGATGCGTGGTTGGTGCTGCTAGCTAGCTTGTGTTCTGCTCATGGGCCTCACCTGCTTCTTGCAAAAAGATAAATTTGGCTTGTGCTGATGCTTATGCTGATTTGTTGTCAGAGAAAAACACTATTCGTTCGTTGAAAAGTATGGCTGAAGATAAAAGAATGATGCAATGATCATATCCGAAAAAGGGATTAACAGTGCTGTTTTGCTGATTGATCCCTGGGACAAAACTTCCAACATGTACTTTGAATATCCAGATTCCATTTCAATTACTACTCATGATGAATGAAACTAATGTATATCAAGATTCCATTTCAATTACTACTCATGATGAACGAAACCAATACTTAGTTCCTCAACTGGTAACACAGAAAATAAGCAGAGGCTTCTCGTAGCATGTAGCCCATGAAACCAGGCATAGAAAATTTTACACAAAGTTATAGCAGCATTTCAACACAAAAAAGGAATTCCCCATACACTTTGAATATCCAGATTCCACTCATTTACTACTCATGGAACAAATGTACTTGGTTCTTCAACAACCAACACGTTCACACAAAAGGATAAAAAGAGACTTCTGGTGGCAATCTCTAGCTCATGAAACCAAGCATGAAAAACTTGCACCAAGACTTTGGCATCTCAACACAGACAAGAGTCAAAAGGCTGTACAATAGAATAGACATCATTAACCTTTACATCACTCTATTGTCAACGTTGTAAAGTAACATGTGATCAGTTGGCACATGGGATAAAGTTAACTCCTCTATTATTGTAACATTAGCATCATCAGGCTGTACAAGAATATTGACTTAGTAATCAACAAGTCAGTCAAGATACAATTTACTACTAGTGCACAAATTTAAAGAGCAGTGCAACATGGAATGTGCTAATGTTGTTGTGATTGTGAAGAGTGAATTTCCTTCCATATGGTGATTGGCGCCCTTTTCAAAAAGAATGAATACGACACAGACACTCTGGCATGCTTTTGCTGTAAAAAGGATCATCAGGCAGATAGTCACATTCTGCTTTGCTCCAAGTCACTTGAGCAATGCACCAAGGTGACATCAGTTTGGTAGACTGAACAATGAGCTTTTTCTGCAATACAAATCTGATGCAGATATTAATTGGGCACGATTCAGCATGTACCTGCCACAGGCATTTTAATTTATTTGGGATATAATTCTTTTTTAGAATACTTGATTGGACTGGAATTCAGTGCACGCTAGATGTCTGAGTGCTAAATGTTGCAGACACCTTATCAAGACCTGTATGCAGATCACTACAGCATTAGTATACAGATTTCCCACAAAGCAGTAGCACAAAAGAAATGAGATGAACAAACCTTATGTTGTCCTCCGATGGATATTTCGTCATGGCAAGACCCCATGGAAATTTCTCCCTTGCAGTAAGTGCTCCTCTCGAGATTACTCAGCTAACTGTTAGCTCTACTTCAGATTCTAAATCCAACTGATCACGGATATGGCGAACCATTTCAGCTCCGTAAATACCAGTTAGAAGAGGGAAGGTATACTTAGATTCTATTGGTTTAGTGATTGATGAGCCTAGAAGCACCGGAAAATTTCACTTTTGGTAAATAAATATTGATTTATCATCATGTTAATTCGTAATCTTGAAAATGTAACTATTTATTGTTTTTGAATCACTCCATCTGCACTTGCCTTAAGCCTCTTCTTCTCCACTGCCATTTGTACATCAACTCAAGCATCATGTACTTAGTGGCATTGTCATGGGGATTTGTTTGGTTTCCTGAAACAAACACTCCAACCCCCTTCCGTCTCCTCCAATTTCAACTGATGATCACCCTGCCCCTTTTACAACAACTTTGTGCTTCATCAGATGGCACTCCTGTGCTGCCTCACGCCACTGCCCTTTGCTAGTATAGAGGTTTGCCATTGATCCTCTCCTGAGCCCCATGGCTTTGCCTGCATCACCCTCTCTGCAGCTTTCTTTGCATTTTCCTCTGCCCCTTGAGCTGCACGCCCTAAGCAAAGATGTCCAAACCACACCATCTCTTCCAATCAACTCCTTAGCCTCATGATTCTAACAGCTCTGCCCAACAAATCAACAACACAACCGTAGTGCTCCTTTTTAGGCTCCAGCCCGTAGCTTTTGTTCATTGCATTGAGCTCAGTTTGAGCTCAACTTCCCCTGTGTGTGAGTAAACGGTGAGTACACTGATGAATGTAACATGGTTTAGCTTTAGCCCGACACTGCGCGTATCCTCAAACTGAACAGACACTTACATAAGTTGAACAAATAAGTACTTCAGACTTATTTACTTAGTGTTAGGGTCTTAAGAACCATATAAGTTGAACAACCACATGCAGAAATACAGGTAAGGAAATGATGTCCATTTTGACTTACATTGGTCATGCTCAGAATGAAAGGCCTTGGGACTGAAAGTCATCTGTTTTCTCTATCGAGGCATCATCCTAATGAGTGACAACTTTAGTATATCCAGATTGCATATCATTACCAGAAGCAGAAAATTGTCCAAAAATTGCCAAACTTTCTGTATTGGCCTCTTCCAAATTTGTGTCTTTTTCAACGCCATCTTCACTGACATCTGGCGTCAATGAACATTGTGCATTATCACTGAAGGAAGGAGCTTCAACATCTGTTCCTTTTGCTGGAGAGACCATATCAAGTGAGGAAGGATCTTTAGGTACAGAGTATGCCTCAATAGCACCTTTTAGTAATTTATCTCCTGCACCATGACTTACTTCTGATGTGAAAACAGTTTTGTTGTATTCCTTGGGCACAAGATTTGGTGTATTGCAAATGACTGAATCACCGACGGCTGGCAAAAATGGCACAATACAGCAATACGACATATCAGCTAGTCCATACCATGGGAGAAATCCAAGTCTCCCATTCAGTGCAAGATTGCACAATCAATGGCCTTAAACTCACATTGCAGTAAAAAGGTAAATCTCACACAAAAATCAAAGGATGGAAAAAGCAAACAGTGAACCTCCATTCAGTGCAAGCTGCATAACTAATGACCCCAAACTCACATTGAAGCGAAAAGGAAACTCTCAAAAAAAAAAATGAACCTATAGAAAAGCTGGGGCTATAAGGAATTCATGCATCTACTAACCTCCTTTTTGTTATCCCGCTTTCTTCTCACTTCATGAAAAGTATCTGAACAGTCATGGATAAAAAAAGAGTTAGATTAATCATAAACAAACATTTAAGATTCTCCATGGTCTAGAGATGCTACACCATGTTTCATTTATCAGAAATACATCAGACATAAATGTAGTTATTTATTTCCAACAGAGAAAGTATCACATGGCTAAGTAAGGATGAGATGGTGCATCTAGAATAGGACAAAGCCACCCACAAAAAACGAAAGATAGGATAAAATGGACCGGTATCATAACTTGAAGCAACTGAAGAGCAGGATACAATGTGTATCCTTATGTTGTCCTCCGATGGATGTTTCATTATTGACAGGGTACCATGTAAATTTCTCCCTTTCAGTAGTAAGTGCATCTTTCAGGATGACTTAGTACACTGCTAGCTCCACTTCAGATCCTAAATCCAACTGATCAGGGATTTGGCCAACCATTCTGGCTCCATAGTATATCAGCTCAAGCATCATGTAGATGGCATTGTCATGGGGATTTGTCCGATCTCCTGAAACAAACACTCCAACCCCCCTATCGTCCCCTCCAACTTCAACTGATGACCACCCTGCGCCTTTTAGAACACCTTTCTGCTTCATCAAATGGCGTTCCTGTGCTGCCTCACGCCACTGCCCCTTGCTAGCATAGAGGTTTGCCATCGCCACATGTGCTCCTGAACCCCATGGCTCTGCCTCCATCATCCTCTCTGCAGCTTTCTTTCCAGTTTCCTCTGCCCCTCGAGCAGCACATGCCCTAAGCAAAGATGTCCAAACCACACCATCTCTTCCATCAGCAGCAATTCTTCCAATCAACTCCTCAGCCTCATGTATTCTACCAGCTCTGGCTAACAAATCAACAACACAACCGTAGTGCTCCTTTTCAGGCTCCAGCCCATAGCTTTTGTTCATTGCATTGAGATATCTCAATCCGAGCTCAACTTCCCCCGCGTGAGAGCAAGCAGTGAGTACACCAATGAACGTAACATGGTCTGGCTTTAGCCCGACACGGCACATTTCCTCAAACAGTTCAAATGCCTCTTTGCTGTGACCATGCTCAGCATGCCCAACGATCATTGCAGTCCATGAAATCACATCATCTTTAGTGCGATTGGAAAATACGACATTAGCATCTGACATGCTACCACTCTTTCCGTACATGTTAACGAGCGCACTCCTTACCATCACATGGTGTTCAAGTCCAGCAGCGACAGCGAGTGCATGCAGCTGGCGTCCAGCATCCAGTGATGCAGCACTCGCACACACACTGAAGAGACTCGCAAGAGTAAACTCATTTGGCCGAGGGCAGCTGCTGTGATGCCGCATTTCTGAGAATAAGGCAAAAGACTCCTCGCCGAGGCCTTCCTGTGCATATCCTGATATAATTGTGCTCCAGGAGACAACATCCTTGACATCACTCTCCCGGAAGATAGCATCAGCAGCTGAAAGTCGACCACAGCGCGCATAGAGTTTGATAAGGGAATTGGCCACAGAGCGGGTATGAGATAGCCCTCTCCGTGCAGCTTGTGCATGTAACTGCTCTCCAAGATAGGCACCTTCAATATTTGGGCACGCAGCAATTACGGCAGAGAAAGTATACTCATTTGGTGACGCAGAATTTGACGACTCATCGCGAAGCATTCTGACAAACGCCTCGATAGCTTCCACCGCGCGGCCGGTCTGGATGTAGGAGGCGATCAGCGTCGTGGACGCAGCAACATCGCGCGTGCCCATGCGGTCGACCGCGGCCAGCGCGCGGTCGACAGCGCCGCACCGCGCGTACAGCGCCGCGAGCGCGTTGGCGACGAAGGGCACGGCGTCGAGGCCGAGCTTGGCGCAGAGCGCGTGCACCTCGCGGCCGCGTGACGGCAGCCCCGCACCGGCGCACGCCGTGAGCGCGGCCGCGCAGGCGTGGGAGTCGCAGGCCACGCCGGAGGCTCGCATCTCGGCGAAGCGGCGGAGCGCGTCGTGCCGCCGGCCGGCCCGCGCCAGCGAGGCGACGAGCGTGGTCCACGAGACCACGTTCTTGTGGGGCGTTTCGTCGAGCACCTGGAGCGCCAGCTCCAGGCGGCCGGTTTTGGCGTAGGCGTCCGCGAGCGCCGTGGACACGAACACGGACGACACGGCGGAGGAGCGGACGGCGAACGCGTGCAGCGCGGCCGCCGCCGCAGCGTGGGGGAAGGAGAGGGGGAGGAGCCCTGCGCCGGTGCCGGCGGCAGCGGCAGCGGAAGCGCACGCCTTGAGGACGGGGCTGAGGATGAACGGGTCCGCGGCGGCGTGAGGCGGGGAGGAGGCGCGGAAGAGGGAGAAGAGCGCCATGGCGCCCGGGAAGTCGGCTGCCGCGGCATAGCCCGAGAGGAGCGTGGCGTAGGCGACCTCGTCGCGGTTCGGCATCGCGTCGAATAGGCTCCTCGCGTCGGCGAGCTGGCCCGACCGGACCAGATGCCTCAGCATGGGTCGCGGTGCCTGGGAAGAACCTTTCCTCCTCCCGACACCGGCCTTCCGCCGGACTCCGGGAAGACAGGCGGAGACCAGCGCCGTTGCCGCTGCAGCTGGCGGTGGCGCCCGCTCAAGAGTCAAGATACTGGCCCTGTACGCTGGGTTACGAGCCGTACTTTTGAACAGCGTTTTTCTCTAGTAACAAATCAACCAACAGTATTTTTTTTTTATCAGCCGCCAAAGGAACAGGGCCACTACTCACTCTCGTCGACTTACAATTCTAGGTTTATATAATAAACTAAACTTTCTTAAGCTCAACAGAATTTATATATAAAAAACTAGTTTCAATACTTATGTTTTCAAATAAATTTTATATAAAATTATATTTTATAATTAATCTAATGTCATTTATTTAAATGTTTGTATCTTTTCATATAGATTTAATTAAATTTAAAATTATTTAACTTCTTAGAAAGTGATAGTTATATTCATTTAGGATGGAGGAAGAAGATGTTTTCGTCTATAAGGTTGAGGACTCCTTTCAAGATAATAATAATAATTGAATTGAACTTGACTAATGAACTTGAGGAAGTAGCAGCAATACTATAGCCGTAACGCATGCATACCACATAAACACTGATGAATACTAACAGACCTGACTAATGAGTATATACGTATTCCTTGAATGGTTACCTCGCGGTACCACCACTCAAGGACCGGGAAAATAATGCCACAGACCTGCTGCACAAATCATGCAAGAGCACGGCCCATCCCGCACGTGTTCGTTGCGAGCACGCTGCACCTGACAATAATAGAGCCACTGCAACTGAAGCTCATCATGCTGAAGACTCTGCAAGTTCGCTGTACCATCAGCCCCCTGCTCCTGCGTGCCTGCTGCTTGCAGAGTCGCTGGATCATCGCCTCCCTCCTGCTCCTGCGTGCCTGCTGCCAAGTCCTGAGGCGGCTCATCGCGGGACACCAGCACGCCCCTGACAAACCCGTCGAGCTCGTCCATCTGAACGCTCTCGCCGAACAGGAGGCTATCGACCTGCAGATCATCAGAGCCAGACGACTGCTCGTCCAAGGGCGGCAGGTCATGGCCGCCCTGGGGATGATTCATAGGCTGCTGGTCTTGTACTACTCCAGAGCCCCCTCCATTGTTCTCCTCCTGCTGCTGGTGAATCTGACGCTGGTCGTTACCGTGCTCCCAGCCGCCGCCGCTGCTGTTCATCGTCTGCGTGGTGGTGTTGTCTGGGAGTAACAGATCAGCGTGCTGCCATCCCTGCTCCATGTAAACACTTTGGTTCTCTCCCAAGAAGAGATGCTGGTTCTGCACTCCGAACAAGCTGTAGCCATCTTCCTGTTGCTGGTAGGGCTGGAGCGGAGCATGGCCAACGACGACATTGGTGTCTGCTGCGGCGAGGAACGCCGTACTGCCTGTCAAGCTCGGTGGCCACTGCTCCTGACCTTGGTTGTTGCAGAACATGGCAGGGTAACCGAGCAGTGCCAGGAGCTGGGACATGTCGTCGGGCATGTCTTCTTCAGGCTTAGGCGCGGAAGCTCCGAGCGTTCCGTCCGGTTCCGATGGTGGGCACACGCGTACCGCCTGCAGCGGCACGGCGGAGAGGACGACCGGCGCCGGCGCACTGTCCGCAGGCGCCGACGGCTGCTGTTGTCGTCCTTCTTGCTGCGAGGGCGCTAGCTCATCTTTCTTGGGCGGCGTCACTGGCTCCATCGGTGACTGTCCCTGCTGCTGCTGCTGCTGCTGCTGCTGTTCTCCTTCAACTCCAACTTGCATTGATGGCTTCTTCTTCCTCTGGGCCTTGGCCTTCCTTGTCGGCTTCAGTGGTGGCTCGGCGAGCAGTGTTGTCGTCTCTGGGTGCGGCAGCTGCACTCCCTCCAGTTCGGTAGAAGGCATCTCCGTCTCCGTCCTCTTCCTCTTTCTAGTCTTCTTCTTCTTCTTCTCTGGATCCATGTCGTCATTGCCGGCATTGCCCTCGGTGTCCGAGTGCTGCTTCCTTTGGATCGAGTACAGGGCATACTGCCCAATCTGCATGCATGTCGATCATGGAGTAAGTTAATTTACCAGCGGAGGGACATATATCAAGCAAGATGCATAAATTCAGGCAATTAGTAATCTTTTTTAGGGCCAATTGTCAGTCAAATCTTTGAACACATGCATGGAATATTAAATATAGATAAAAAATAACTAATCCAATGATTTAAATTGTTGACGAATCTTTTGAAATTAGTGTCAGACACGTGACAATAATTGGTCGAATTCTCGAAAAGTTGCGTGAACATTCAGTCCAGTCAAAACAAGCCCTTAGTAATCTTTTTTAGGGCCAATTGTCCAGTTTCCTCCAGGCAAGGCAAGGTACAAGATCCAATCTTGTGTTGCTCAAATTCGGTCAGACACGTGACCTGGTCGAATTCTCAAGTTGCGTGAACATTCAGTCCAGTCCAAAAGAAAGAAATTAGCTTCTAAACATATATATGTTATTACAAAGGCTCAGAATGAGGCAAATTCAGTACAAGATTATAATGTTAGGGTGGTGCATAAATCTATCGTAACATTATAGAATAGATCAAATCAGTTACTATTTGGTAGGATTTGTTTTTTCTTTGCTGTCACCATGACAACGCCGAGATCTTTTGCTTGCTAATATAAAAAAAAGTTTAATTGATACTACCTCCACCCATAAATACTTGGTGCTGAAAATAGTCCGATTGAACTTTTAAAAATTAGACCCTAAATATATTTTAAAATATATAGTTTGGAAACATCAAATAATAAAGTCATGCATTATGTGTAGATTTGTGAATTGTAGTACTTTTTTTGTAATCAGATATGTTCGTTAGGGTTCGTTAGAGAAAAATAATGGTTAATATTATAAATCACGTCAATAACAGGGTAGTATATGCAAATAATAAAGTCCCTTTTATCTAGGGTTTGTTCATGTTCATAAATATGCAATTATTACGCAAACAATTAGGCGTGCATTACGTACCGCGGCGTGGTCTTTGAGGACGTACTCGTGCATGCTCCACTTGCCGTTCTCGGCGGTGTCGCTGGAGTTGTAGATGAGCACCCTCTTGGTGCCCACGACCACCTTGTCGCCGTCGCCGTCCTTGGATCTCGCCCGCCGGATGTGCTGCACGCTCCCCGTGGCCTTCCATGTCGCCGTGACGCCGTCCACCCTCACCTTCCGGCTGGGCTCCTTCTCCTTGTTCGACGACGACTGCTCCCGCACCGTGAAGAAGAACCACCTGTTCTCGCCGTACCCCTTGTACTTCTCTACACGCATGCATGCGCGCATACATACGTGACGACCATGGTCCATGCATTACGTATATTGCAGTAAGTCATTCCATTACATCATGCAAAAATAATTAGACGACTAGATAGCTAATGCAATTACTCGATCAGTAATACGTACGACGCAGTAGCAATCAGTAGCATCTTAACTGCTTACCGACGAGTTTGCCGGGCTGCCATTCGAGGATGGAGACGTCGTTGATGACTTCCAGGGGAAGCTTGTGGCCCTCGATCTTGGCGCGGAGGTAGACGTCGACGAGCTCCTCCTCGGTCGGCACGAAGCGGTAGCCAGGAGGGAACTGCAGCTGAGGGACCAGCTCATGGCTCGCAGTCGTCGCAGCAACCTCCATATGTATATGGAAATAAACCGGCAAGTAGATTGACGAACAAGAGGCCGAGAAAGGAAAAAAGGAAAGTTGTTACTAGAGAAAGAGAAAGAGGTGGAGGAAAGAGAAAGATCGGTCTGAATCCAACTGCTGGCTAGTTAATTAGGTGTGCGTGGTTAGAGTTGTAACCGGTTTCCACTTGAAATTTCTTATAGCCAAAAAAGGTTTCTTTCGGTGGCTGATCGACTGTCCAGGTCATCGTCTTTGTCCAGGACTCCACGCTGTAGCCCTGTTTATCCTCCGCTGTTTAAGCGGTTATATGAAAAAGAAAGCGTACGTATCCACGCCCACGTCCCCACCTATCTGCCGCGCCCAGTCACGGAAAAACAGAACCGCCGAAGCCCACGCTCGCCCGTCCGGGAACGAGCAGCATGCGGAGACGGGCGAGGAAGCGGAGTGCGGTGGAGCAGGGGCACGCGTCCGCCTGCTCGCCGAGAGCCGAGGGGCCGGCCTAGCCGCCGTCCCCGTGCTCCGCACCCTACTGCGCCCGTCTGAGACGGTGGTGTGACGTGCCTCTGGGGCTCCAGGCGGCGCCGCGACCCCGGACCTGTGCGTGCGGATGCCCACGCTGCAGCGAGCGCAGGCCGCAGGGGGCTGACTCAGACATGCCCGACCGCGCCGACGAGGATGGCGACTGGTCCATGAGGAAGACCCGATCGACGGCTGGCCCCCTCACATGGACATGGGCATGGCCGAGCGGGGCAGCGGCAGAAACAACGGCACAAGGAACTCAAGGCTAAACAATCGGGCAGGAGCTACTTTAACTCTAGTAGTAGTAGGCATCAAACAATCGGGCAGGCACTTAGAGCGTGTTTAGTTGGCGAAATTTTTTGTTAGGCTACCTTAGCACTTTTGTTTGTATTTAGTAATTAGCGTTTAATTATAGACTAATTAGGTTCGAAAGTTTTCGTCTCACTATTTCTCACCTAACTGTGCAATTAGTTTTTTTTTTCCGTCTACATTTAGTACTCCATGGATGTGCCGTAAGATTCGATGTGACACTTTAGGGTGAAAATTTTTTAGAACTAACCAGGGCCTTATTAGTGCTAAAGTATGGTTGGAATTATAATAGCGAAAATTGCAGTACAGAGGATAAATCAAAGTGGATAGAGGATAATATTATATTATGTATGGGTTGGGCGTCAAGCAGGTGATGATAGGAATAAAAGCCAAACGGATCGATTCATATCCTCTGCAGCACATCATGTGCATTCAAACTTTCAAAGTACTAGCTGACTTGCAGAGGATATGTTGTGTCCAAAGCCAAAAAAAAAAACGAAAACAAAAAAGAACATTATGCATTCAGATTCCAGATTCCACATTTGTAACATCTCCGACGTGTGTACATAAATAATCACATCTTGCAAGGGTCTGGATAACGTCGGGTACAGACGTACAGTTTCATGCGAAGCTTAATACAGAACCAAAAGAAGATAATTAATATCTATGGATGGATCCCCTGGCTATATAGATATGTCATGTAACTTAGTCCTATACGGCTATAACTATAATCCACGGCTATAAATATACCCCACCTATCAAACCTCGAAAACAACATCTTAGAGTTTCCCGTTGACATAACACAAAACTACTGCATCATATCTCGCTTCCTTTCCTTCACCAAATCAACATAGATTATGTGTTACCTACAAGACCTCCTATGCAATATGTAAGCATTCTGTAATATAAACACGTGATGTGCACCGAGAACCACCGCATCAAAACTGTTTCCAACATCACCAAGTCACATCTTTGATCCTCTGGAGATCAAGATGTCTCCGTACGGTTTCAGCTGAGTAACCTTGATGTAATCACAAGTTGCCAAAACTACAGAACAAACATTCCCCATTAGATAATAAGGTCCATTCTAGCATTACAATTAAACTGAGTGATATCATAAACTTCAGATTCACCATTATTCCTTAATATGTCAAAATTATAAATTATGCGGCCTAGTATTGGATTGTGTGAAACTTCTCTTATTTAACCACACAGGTAAGTGAACCAGACAACCAGTTATGTGTTGCTGGCAATTTTTCGACAATAAGGCTCTAACGCCAGCACAAACTGACAACCTCATCCAGCAAAACATCACCAACTATAAAACTGGGCACAACCAAGACCTGTAAACTACTATGTCCTCCGTAAAGGATTTCGGCCAGGAGCGCTCTTGGCTTCACTGGGCTGGTGTTTTTCTCTTCTTTCTTTTGTTTCAGTTTTGATTTTTCTCCCTTGTCTGGTCTTATGCTCAGACTGTAAATCAGACTGTTTTTTCAAACTTCTACAATGCAAAGGCAGAGCAACAGCCATCTTACGCAAAAAAAAAAAAAAATAATTATTTGCTACACCATACTGAGAAAACATTTACACAGCCACTAAAATTATAAATTTGAGGAAAGTGTGCCAAATTTCCTAGCAATAAAGGAAAGCAGGCTTCAATGGTGTTTAAGTGTAACCCAACCTAATTACAGAAACCATGAATAGTCACTAAGCCAGGAAAGCTATCATAACTGTTTAACATCATGTCAGTGACGACTACTAGTTTTTTATTTACTTTAGCAACAGTACTGTTTATTTTCCAGTCAAAGCGCCATAGAGAAATACTCCCTCCCTTTCAAATTATAGGACAACAAAAGTTATGTACCTAGAAAAGCAAAAAAACGACCTATAATTTGGGATGGAGGGAATACATACCGGTTGCTTGATAGAATAGTCGGGCTGCCCTGGCTTTGGTCATCCCATGAGCTAGATGACTTAAGGATTCAGACTGCGGGGCACCTGGGCTATCGAAATGAACTTTGAGGTGCCTGCATGAAGATAACTCTAGCATCAGAAAATGTATGTGCATCCGTTGTACCACATTTCAACAAACTTAAGCTACCCAGGCACTATGAGCAAAAAAGTTCCGGATACGTACGACATGATTGTTTCTGTGACCTTGTCCATTGGATTGGAGCGCCTCTCATATGGGGTTTGAGTCGGTTCAGTTTCTTCCAGTAGGTCTGAAACGAATGTTGACTGTTAAATTCTATGTTGATCGAAACAGTTTCAAATGTTCCAGAAAACAGTTTCACATGTTTATAACTTTATATATAACAGAGTGAATAAGGACAGAAATGGAACCGACCAGGAGTTGGAGCAAAACTGTTAAATTCGATGTTGGTTGAAACAGTTAATGTTCCGGAAACAGTTTCACATGTTTATATATAGCAGAGTAAAGGTCAGAAATGCAACCAACCAGGAGTTGGAGCATAATCTGAAAGCCTTCTCATCTTGAAGTCCATCACTTCCTGCTCCAGTGGAAAATCTTCCTCAACAGTATCAAGATTCCCCAAGCTTCTTGCAGATGAATGCCGCCCCCTCTTGGACCTGTGTTCAATAACCATGACATGGTCACTATAAGAAACTTTTTTCTCGAGTGGACTTAAGCAGCCCGTACTTCATTAAGTAGACAGGAGTTTGTTTACACATTAGGACCTTCCCAGCTAGCGAGTAGCAAGCCAGGAACGGTACCTACATCTCTTGTGAATACAATAGGACAGTGGGGAGCTAGACATTTTTTTATTTGCCTGACACTTCATAAAGGAGATTACACACTTTAGTTTCTGCACTTATGAGCATATACAATAGGAGGTTCCGTTGTGATGATGAAAAATCTTTAGATGGGCAAGTTCTTTCAGTAACAAAATATCACATAGTCATAGTTCAGACTTCAGAATACTAATATAGGTGACATGCTGCTATTACTATAAGTCAACAGTCACCTTCCACTTCCTGATGGAAATTGTACTTCTGGATCCAATGGTATAAACGCCCGTCCAGAGCCACCAGAACTTGAAGCAGACCTGTGACTTAACCCTGCTAGAGATTTATGTCATTGACTGTCTAATATAAGCACAGACACACATTAAACTTATTCACTTTTCAACTTACCAGGACTTCCAGGAGTAACACTATGGTCACTGTGCAGAGTATCGTAAGCTCTGTCATACTCTGCACTCATGTTTGCTCTGAATTTTTCAATGCCATCTGTGAAGTCCATCGGCAGACCACCTGTTTCCATCTCATACTCTCCCCCAGCCTGAAAATTCAACCACTCATCAGGGACAAATCTAATGACAATTATGATCAGCTCACTAGGGAACGGTGTTATTCTTTTCAGAAAATAAAAGAATCTAGAATAACCTGAGGTGGAAATTCATGTGGTGGTGAGTTTTTCGGCTGTTGTTCTTGTGATGATGATCGCTGCCCTCCTTTAAGAAAATAAGAAACAGTTCAGGTTTTTGAATTGGCCTTTAGCATGTTAAAATAATATGGTTTCTTCAAGTCAAGAAAGGTGACACAATATTACAAATTATGAAATGACCTGAAGAAGCTTTTGTGGACTTGACTTCAGTGCAGTCCTTCCAGAGCTGCATAAGTGGCTTAGGATAATATAATTCTGAGGGCGAGTTGTCATGAGATATTAGAGCAGCTGGGGGGATGTCCACGAGATCACTTATCTTGGTTGATCGAATAAAATTAAAATTCTGCAAGCATAAATCACATAAATGTTCTTTATTAGAGTGCATCAGTACAGACATCTCCAGGAAAATAGGTTAGTCGAACCAAACATACACTGTTAACTTTACGCCTTTTTGAGACAAGGCTTAACGCATCCTTCAGCCATGTCTGATATATGTTTCCCGGGATCATCATCTGGTTATTGTCCATAATTACTTGTGGGAGTTCCCCACGTGCTTTCCGCTTTGATGCTTTAGGTGGTTGCTGCTGCTGTGTAAAAGTGCTAGCTCAAGTAAACAAGAACAAACTAAACAAGTAATCCCTTTTCATACTATTTTGTATTTTCTAGATGTAATAAGGCTTGATAAATCATGTTTACCTTCATCTTCTGCTCCTCTTGCTCCTCTGGTCCCCCTGCAAGAGAACTTTCAGTAATTGCAGAAAGGCTTCAAATATGGTAT